GAAACCAACCGCAAAGGACAGGTCTGGCCTTGTGCCAACAGCCAGATAATTTAAGGAGCCAACTATCGAAAGGAAGCCATTCGGATTGATCACTTCCTCATCAGGCAGCGTGGATGTCAGGGAATTAGTGTCCCGAATGGGGGTTGCCCGCAAAAGAGTAGCTGGTGTAGTGAATGTATCCAATATCTTTTGTGTCAAAAACGGCTGAGAGAGAATTATCTTCGAAGGCACCGGCCGTTCAACCTTAATACCAACAATGTTATGTAGATTCCCCTCCCAAGTTGTTTTAAGCCATGATTCTAGAGCGGCCTGGAAATCCCGCATCACCCGTTCCGAAGACGCCGTCACAACACCATCATCGACGTGAATCCAGACGAGAATGACTTCGTTGCCACGCTGAATATGGTAAAATGAATCGTCGTAGTAACTGACTGAAAAACCAAGTGATTCCATCACTTGAACAAAGTGCCTCCACCAACAACGACCACCCTGCTTTGTACCATAAAACCCCTTGTCCAATTTCAGGGATTTTCCGTGATTTTCCTCCGGTACGACCATCCCATCCGGTACCTTGACCCATATATCTTCATTGATTTTGCCATGCAAGTAAGCTGCAGTGATATCAAAAGTTTCAATGAGCCAGCAGTTAGAGGCCGCCACCACAAAGAGCATTCAAAGGGAGGCAAAAGTCGCAGTTGGTGCCCAAGTGTCGTGATAATCCTGACCAAAGATTTGGCTAAAACTGCGTACAATATATCGAGCCTTGTACTTCTTAATAGAGCCATCCTGGTTGCGCTTGATGTCGAACAACCAACAAGCATCTGTTTCCTTGCAGCCGGGGGGTACATGTTCAAAATGCCAGACAGAAATATCCCAAATGTTGGACAGTTCGGTGTCCACAGCCTCCATCCACTTTTTTCCATCTCGACGAGCTACCGCTCTGGCATAGTTCCTTGGCATTAATTGATTCCTTGCCACATCCACAACACCGGAATTCTCTGGTTTTTGATCATCCATAATTCACTCCGCTTCATTGGATCCAAGTACAAGGGCCGCATTGAAGATCATGGAAGAAACATCCTCCGTGTTAGAAGTTTATCAATCAAACGCTGTATTGGATGATTATTGACAGACGAAATATCCTTGATAGCATTGTGTTGCGGAACGTTTACCGATTCAGGTCCATTATCTAGGAGTTTGTTTAAAGAAGCAGATGTCGTGAGATGAGATTTAGCAGGTGCTGCAGGAGTTACTGATGGATGACCAGAATAAGGAAAAGTTGCTATGGATGACTCAAAAAAAGTGTTTGTTGTAGGGACATAAAAGATCCATCCCTTGCCACCTTGAACATAACCAATCAGATTGCATCGCCAAGCTCGTTCATCTGTTTTTCCTTTACGATAATAATCAGGTTTTTGCACAAAGGCAAATTTGCCAAAAGCTCGAAGACGGTCAAAAAGCGGTTTCTTCCCAAACATTATTTCAATCGGAGTTTTATCCCCAGTCAGCAAATTTATAAGACGATTATGAGTAAAATAGCCCCACAGGTAAGCAAAACCCCAGAACTTCAGTGGCAGTCCAGATGCCACTAATGCTGTTCTTGCCATTTCCCCAACGGTTCTATGCAAACGTTCCGCTGCGCCATTCTGCTCGGGTTCATATGGCATCAAATGTTGGTGTTCAATGTCCTTATCTTTCATCCAATTTAGAAAAGCCGTCAACGTAAATTCCCCGCCACCGTCTGTACAAAAACGTTTTAGCTTCTTTCCGGTAAGACGCTCCATTTGCTCAATATACCGCTTGAAAGTTAGACAAAAATCCTTCTTTTCTTTCAAAAGAAAACCTTCCAAGTAAGTCGAAGCAAGATTGCGAAAGACCACGAGGTATTGAACGCCAGAAAATCCTTCTACAAAAGGACCAAGCACGTCAGAGACAATGATGTCCATTGGCTGCAAAATGTGATCTTCCGACAATCTTATCCCTCACGTGCGTTTGCTTTTGCTGAGTAGACAGTCTTCACAAACAAAATCCTTGTTTGTCAGCTTGTCCGGCAGTCCAGGCAAATTTCCGGCCGCGCACATCTTGATTATTCTCTTGAGACTGACATGGCCAAGCCTACGGTGCCACATAAGCGCGTCAGACTGTTTCACAGAGGCACTTAAAATGGTAAAAGATTTGTCACAACCTTCGATTGATTTCAATGGGTTGATAGGTTTAGCAGGGGGTACAAAAACAGCAGGCGGATAACCAGGTAGCACCAGAGCAGGGATTTGCCAGCGACGATGAATGCAAAGAGACTGAATAGAAAAACCATTATCAAAATGAACTGAGGCATTACCCTCACTATTGACTTGTACGTTCCCACCGCCGAGACTTAGTGAAACAGCGGAAAGAAGAGTGCATGAAGCATCAGGACTGTAATACACATTTTTGATCGTGATTGAACCAGTAAAATTTTTAATCTTCAGCTTCCCAACTACTGTGACATAAGATTTTGTTGAATTAGTAGCCACTTGTAGGGGTATGGGTGACACAAGTTGAAAGGTGTCAAAGAGAATGGATAAATCATTTGTGAACGTATGAGACGCGCACGAGTCAAGTCCAAAGAGTCGCCCTCCATTTTTCAACAAAGTATCTATCTCCTCCTGAGATACCTCTGGGTTGATGTCGTCCAGGGTAATAGATTGAAAGGTTGGGGGGTTGACAGGATGTTGCTCTTGACGATCAACTAATTCGACCGAATGAACTTGGAAGTTCGGTCTTGGAGGCGCCGTATTACTATGATTAGAGTTGAACGAAGAGTTTGTCGTCCCCCTGAAAGGGTTATTCGAACCTGATGAAAACTGTCCTGCCAGTGGTTTGGTGCAATCACGATTAAAGTGGGCATTATTCTTACATTTATGACACCACTTTGATGCAGTCAAAACGCCTTGCGCAGAAGCCAAGACCGAGAACTCACGCAAACCGGCTTGCCTATCAGTCCTGCGCTCGGGAGGTGCCCTCCAATTATTGCAGAACAGTGTTAGCTCATTTTTGGCCAGTCTTAACAGATCGGTGTTCTTGACCACCATGTTGCCATGTTCCATACGGAGATCAAGTTGCCTGGCCACATTAACAAAGGGGAATGTTTCGACATTCGGAAGGGATAGGTGGAAAAACAGGCCAATAAAAGATTCTTCAGAAAGATTAAACCCCGAACGAAATAATGTTTTCACCATGTTTTCCACTTTACGAAAATGAGTGTCCAAATCCGCAGCTCAATCGAGATGATTGAATTTGAGCTCTAAGATCTGCTTCATTATTGCAACGTGAGATGTGCGGCTTCTTAAGGTGAATGTTTCAGAGATGAGGCAAAAACCATCCAGGCCAGATGCACACTCCGCCACCCCCACTTTGATGTTGTCATCGATGGTGGCCAACAATGCCGTCTTGAGCAGAATATCTTCATTTGCATTGAGAACCAACTCCTCATTGCTCAACACAATCGGGTATCCTAAGGTACATTCAAGGGCTTGCTGAATCATGACCGTCCGCCGTTGACTCGGAGCTTTGGCACATTAGGTAGCCATTTGTGTAGGACTAACGACAGTTCTCTACTGGTAGGCTTTGGTGGGGGAGGGGCGGG